TTACCTAAATGGTGACAATTTATCAAAAAGAAATGTCAAAATTTATTAACAAATAATGATAAATAATTATTAAAATGGTAAAAAAAATTTCCATAATTTTAAAAATAAAAAACTAAAAATATATTTATTTTAAAATATAAAAAAATTAAAATTATAATACTAAAATTACAATTTAACTATTTATTTAGTTACCGAGGCAACATCTTCGTTCACCAAAAATTATGCACAACCAATTCGATTACGAAATTGGGGTAGATATCTAGATATTATTCATTAACGACGAAATCACATCATACTCTTATAATCTGTATTTAGGGTTATGCATTAGTCAATTATGGCTAGTTTTAGCTCAAGTATTTTGAATCAGATGTAAATCAAAAGAATAAAAATTCAGATTGACCTCGACCAATGTAAGCCTCGGGTTGTCAAATTCAACTAAAAGCGAGTGAACGGATTTCTTGAGTGGGTTAGGCCACTCCTTCTTCCTTGCTTTTACTTCCTGTTATTCTCGTTATTACCATGACTACATTGCTAGAAAATTCCTTAGGAGGTTGAGAAGTCATGATTGATAAAGGTGAAGAGTTAGTTGGGCTTTCCAAGTTGTTGCACCAAAACTTGTATTGGAAAAAATTTAAGTCCCACGTCGACTAGAAATTAAACAATTAAATAATATATAAGTGAAAAACAATCCTCACACTTTACAAACCGGTTTTGTAGGGTTGAGTTAGACTTAATCCACTATTCTAAGATGGTATCAGATCTATCCTAGATCATTAAAAAGAGTCACCTACCATTTATCTACGTATCAAGTCCAATAATACTGGACGTAAGGGGGTGTATTGGGAAAAACTCAAATCCTACATCGACTAAATATTAGACTATTGAATAATATATAATTGAAAAATAACCTTCATCTTATAAGGTGAGGTAAAGTCGATATTATGAGAAATATTATGAGCCTTTGGCATGCTAGTAGGAGCATGGTGGAAAAGTTGGTGCATATGAAAAATGAAAATCCAAAAAATGAAGACATGCATTAGGACAATAGAAATGATTGAGATTACATGACCAAAAAACTATGAACTTTCCACACGTTCACGCGGTGTGATTGCATAAAACAATTCACCTTTTTTATTTTTTACATCTCACTTCTTTTAACAATTTTAATAATATTTTACTTAATTTGTAATAATTCGGATGGATCAATTTTCAACGAAAAGAAAAACTTCAAACCAAACCCATTTACTTTACTCCTTTTTAAGCCGTTTTTTTCGTTTGTTTAATCCAAATAACCACCGGAATACACCCAATATCTCCCTTATACATTTAAATAGTTTGGATTTCCATCGGAGGCCTAATCTGTATTATAAAGAAGTTGATTTTACTTTACGACAATGCATCTGAAAAGTCAAAATCCCCTTCACATCCTTATCATCTTGAAACTCAATGTCAATCTCAATAATATAAAGGAGAAGAGTTAATCGTGTACCCAATGTATGGACATTAATATTATTATAATAATTTTAAGAGTTTCGGTATATAATTGATTCGTCAGATTTTGGCAATAAAATACATTCAGATGTTTATAATAAGTCAATCCTTTTCATCATTTTTTCCAAAAACATCTTGAGTAAATTGTTCTTATCTCTTCTGTACCTGCCCGTAAGCCAATTTTAAATTTTACAACAATTTTTTAATTCTTTTTTGTTTTTGAAGAATTTAAGTTTTCCCAACCGCGTTTTTCAATATACTTATTTTTAACATGGAAAAGAGTAGAATTCTATCGTTTTTCAATATAGTTTTCTTCGTCATCGTCCCCTTTCCATTTGATATTATTCAAGTTGTCACATACTCACAGTTTGGAAATAAGATTAAACAAATTAAATAATAATGGACCAAATTTGATAATTTCAATGACAGGGTTGCAAAGGAATGAAAGATTGCACGGTTGTTAATCTTGCTCTTTTTTTTTTTTTTGTTTTTGAGAGCCTTCTATTGCTTACTGTTACAAGAAGGGTGTATGGGGAAAGAGGTGTAGATGGTGATAAACTCTTAGAATTGTGTATTTAAGCCTAATTTAATCCTATAAAATTGTTCTGTAAGGTGAGAGTTCTTTTAGACTTGGTACGTAGATAAATGAGGATGAGTCTTTTTTAATGATCTAAGATTGATGGATTTGATTTTTTTTCTTCAATACATCCCTTCATGCTTATGGTCCATGTATCAATGATAGGTGTGACCCATTTAGAGTGAATATAAATGGCTCTAATATCATCTTAGAATAGTACATTTGAGTCTAACTCAACCTTATAAAACTAACTTATAAGGTGAAAGTTGTTTTTGACTTATATACTATTAAATAGTTTAATCTCCGGTCGATGTAGAAGTTGAATTTTTCTCAATATATCCAAACATGGTATTCCATCTACTACTATAACTGAATAGTAAGCTACTTGTCGTTGTTGATGTTAAAACTCAGCCAAGCATCATTTAGCCAAGGCTAATCAAATTGGGCCGAATGTCCTAATCTACAATCTGCATCCAAAACTATTCACAAATATCGTTAGGTAACATAGTTTGAAGAACTCTCATCTCCAATTGTTTCCATTTGCAAGTAGATACCCACAGATTACATTCCACAGAGGGAATGATGTTAGAAGTCATAAAAAGAGGGGGAAAACTGCCCCAAAAACATTTTTACATTAAAAAACACTAATTATATAACATATATTAATCCCTAATAAAAAGGAAATATATATTTTTTAAATTAAAATTAATATATAGTTTAAACTTCTCTCAAATGAAGTAAAAGGTTTAGCTAATAATGGGTGATATATGGACGATAGACTTCGTTTTTTATTTTTTATTTTTATTTTTTTTTATTTTATGTTGGTTTCTACTTTTCTAGATTTTGATATTTTGGCTAATGTAAGAAAGTGTATTTTACTGATAAGTTTTTACTTTTCTGAAAATTTGAATTTGTGACTTTTTTTTATAATATTTTTTTGTTATTTAAAAATAGTACTAAAATAAATTGCTTCTTAAATTGTTTTTGGAAATAATTTTTAGATAAATTTTTCACTTTTTTCCTATAAAAAGAGATGGAGAAACTAACATTCTTCAATTAATTTTTTTTAATATATTAAAAATGTTATATTATATTATTTAATTATTTAATATAATAAAAATATTTAATTATTAAATAATATTTAAAAGTATTTATAACCCACCAAGATTTTTATTATTTATTGAAATCATAATTCTTAAAAATAATTTATGATTCACAAGCATGAAAATTTTTTCCTATATACCGAATAACTCTTAAATTCTTCCTCTTTTCTTCTATGTTTTTAATGGCTCCGGACCTTTCTCTTTCAATTTACCTTAAAAAGTTAAAAAAAAAAACGAAAGAAAAAATGATTCTTGTGAAAATTTGGGTCTATATTATAAGGCTAGGTATATGTCTCACAAGAGAAAAAAAAACGGCTAGAAAAATGTTAATCATACAATAGATAGAACTCACAAGAAAAAATAAATAAATAAAACCTTGGATATTCTGAAATATTGTACATTTCAATTGAAGTGTATCATAGTATGCATAGGTGGGCTGCTATAGGACAGATATCATCAGAAGGCAAAGCATATTTTAACAAGTCCTTTTAATTGAAAAAATATTAGCTGAAGTGACCAACCATTACTTTCATGACAATCAATTCTGACAGCTAGACGTGGAGAATTGGAAGTAGTATAATTTAACAAGAAAACTTAATTAATTGTGTTAGCCAAAATCGTTGACCTTATCCTCTTTTATACAAGTCCATAGAATGATTCATACCATCAATAGCAATATATATAAATTGAATCTTATAAGCTCCTCTAAAACCCAAACATTCACAAACTTTAAACAATACAATGAAATCCACTATATTTTGTTGTTGTTTTGACAATTTGAGTCACTCTCCTTCTGCCCTAATCTGACCCCTCTCCACTTGATTAAGTGAGACATGATAGGCTTATACAATTTGAGCTTATTCTCCACAGAGGAAGGGAACTCAAAACTCAACAATATGATGACGGTAGTGGAAACATTATTACCAAAAGGTCTAAAACCATCATTGTCATCACCACCGTTGTGTTGCCCCACTATCAACACCACCATCACTAGTGTCATGTGACGACACTGACGATAGTAATAGCAACAACAACAAGAAGGTTTGTGACATTATTACCTCCACAACCACCATCATCGTTGCCTCTACTGTCATGTTCTTTGTCAGGGATGATGGTTTGGTATGGTTACTGTAAGAGCATATAACATGGTAGACAGATTCTTTAAAAATTACTTAAAGCTTGTGGACACAGATGCAACACTGTTCTTTCATTCTAATGTGGCCATGGAATGGTTAGTTTTAAGGATTGAAGCACTTCAAAATTTGACAGTCATCATTGCAGCTTTGTTGCTTATTCTAGCTCCTCAGGGATATGTGTCTCCAGGTATAATTATATGAAATGTTAATTACCTCGATAAGGTTTTATGCATGCTATTAACAAAATATTTTATTAGCTACTCTTAATCAAAGTCCATCTCAATAAATGCAAAATTCAGCCTCTAAACCACCAAAACGAAAAAAAGGAAGCCATAGTATCATAAAGGTTTTTCTAAATTAAGATATTCATTAGAGAAATCATAGGCTGTCAAACATTATAAGAGTACACTACACTATGTTGCTAAAAAAAAACAATGGTACAAAAAATTAGTGGAAGGACCAATGGATTAAAGTATAATATTCACATGAGATAAATCTACAAAAACCTTTGTCAAAAATATCATATGACATTGTGAGAATTTTAGAATCTAAAAACAAAACCAGAGGCTGGAAAATGAGAATCCAAATAAGTTTACATCTAATAAGATTCTTTATACCTCCCAACTCTTCCCACAATGCAGCCAAGAGATTTAGTAGAAAAACGATTGGTATAATGAACTGTTGTCTCAAAAGAACTTGTGCCAAACTAAAGAAGTTGAGAAAGAGTTAATTCAGTATAGGAAAAGATGATTTTTTGTTGTCCTAAATAATTTGCAATATATACAAGACACTATTTTAAAGACAGAAGCACAAGATCGGTCAGAAAAAATTCTAACTTTTTTTTTGTTTCAGAAAGATGAATTATATAGAAAAAAGTATTTTTGAAGGTAATAAAATTATCAGCTGAGACTTCATTATGCACAAAACATAGAAGTACCTTTACTTCTCCAGAGGCAGACCTTATCCCATCTTTCTTTTGCCACCCAACAACTATAGAAGATTGTGGACCCAATGTAAGCTCTATTAATTTGTAACACAGATGATAAGGGAGAGATCGGAACATTCCATCATACATGCCATATGAAATTCTGATCAGACAAGAATCAGATTGGCTACATCTAAAACTATTTAATAATATTATAAAGTACTAGGACCACTAAATCCCACCATGTTGTGAGTGCCTTAATTCCCATCCTTTATCATCATGCTCCATGCTCGTCTTTGCCAAAAGGATAATTATCTAATACTATATAATAATACTATGAAGTACAACCACTATTTTTTTATCTTAACCAGAATGCTTTATGTTTTACATTTCCCTTAAAGCTTGCTTTCATATGCTAAACAAAGAGACAAAATTACACTCTCTTTTTTGTATTTCTATTTTTTACCTAAGATAAATGTAAAAGCAAATTATAAAATTACATCACTAGTACTAAATACAACCAGATATCATACTGCTACACATTCATCAATATCTAAAATTGAATATATCTAAACCAGATTGCCTTTGGGATTGCAAGAGGGTATGTTTACTTGCACGAGGAATGATGCACCTAGATCATACATTGTGACATAAAGCCACAAAATATAATTATACAATATAATTACACCTCCAAAGTATCACACAACAAATCGTTCTCCGCATAAATAGAAACCAACGAGCTCCACGAAATAACATCCTCAACCAAAAATAAATAAAGAACATTTGTATTCCCTTACCTTAAATTTGTAATCTCTGAAAAAATTGTTCCACCTAAAGCCTCTGAAGAAAAAAATTGTAATGAAATATTATACAAAGGAAAAATAGGGAATCAAAATGGATATGAATCGAAAACTCACCTTAAATGAAAAATCGATCGAAGAACAGCGTAAAGAAGAGAGAGCTTTTTTTGCGAAATCACTAACCCCAAATTGAACACTTAGCGAAATGCTTTCATCGCAAATTGGCTCACGAACGATTGTGTTGAGCGTGAAATAAAGCTGAAGGTTTAACGGAAGAAGTTTGAGAGTGAAGCAAAAGGTTTAATGGAAGAAGAAGAAGCGAAGTAGAAGAAGAAGCGAAGCAGAGCTATGGATTGAAGGTGAAGCAGAACATATGAGCGTGAATGACGTGCCCTAAGTGAAGCAATTCTCCCTTCAGAAAAAAAAAGTGAAGCGATTCTAATAAATTTTTTATTCTTTTAATGAAAATAAAAATATTTTTTAATTAACTTGTACACGTGATGAGAAGAGAACCGGATATTTAAACATTGTGGAGTTTTAAAATCGTCGAAACTTTAATTATTTTGTGGCGGTTAAAAATACCGCCAGAATTATAACATTTTGTAGCGGTTTATTAAAACC